AAAAAATGTTTGAAATAAACTGATAGTTTAATTTAACAAAAATTCAAATTTTTTGATTGGGCAAGACAATCGGCTTTTAAAAAAATAAATAGCATAAATATATCCGATAGACACGAAATTATGCCCGATTTTTGTTTCCAAACTAACCCAGTGTTTACATTTTTAATATTCGAAAACAATAAAGATATCACATAGGCGGGATTATTCAAATTTTGGCCAAAAAATTACTCAATTTAGTAAAATTGCGTACAATCTCGTAATCGAGCTTTGAATGATGCCTCTCTTTTAAATCTCGAGAATTATGGAGCGTTTGATAACTATAGGAAGTTCTTTACGGATTCTAATCATCTCCCTGTTCCCAGAGAAACTCCTATAAATCTCGGCTTATTTATGGTGGAAATGCAAAACGATCCTAGATGTGCTAATTTATTGGGATCCCCCTATTCCCCTAGCCAGCCGAAAAGACCTTACAATCGGCCCGAATTTGGTAGCTCGCAGTTGAGTCCTCGATTTTACAGAGCCAACGGGGATGAAAATTTCCGAGTGCAACTCTGCGGATGCTCATTACCTTCTCTCTTTCTGCATCTTCTTATTATATTCCCAATAATAATAATAATAATAATAATAATAATAATATTAATAACAGACAGAGAGGGAAAAAGAAAATAAATAGAAGAAAGGAAAAGTTAAATTTTATAAATTACACTGTGCATCTCCGACAATGTGCATCAATTCCGAACACCTCGTTACAGCAGCCGCATGCAGGCGCACAACCGCAACCCGCCCTCACACAGCCTTTCACGCAGCAAGAATAGTTCCCGCTGCAAAACCCATAGCCCGCTCTCCCCATGCTTAATAGGAAAGCAACTTGCAACTCAGTCACTAGCCATGGCAATTTTCATTCCCAAATATTGAGAGATCTTGGCGTGTGATATTTTACAACAAATGTGTTGATTGGTTCCTTTAAATTATTGGATTAAGTTTATTTTTTTTCAAAAAATTTAAAAAAATATTTAAGAGGGATATTCCCAAATTTTTCAAAAAACCTTACTTGGTTTAGTAATTATGAAATTTTTGGCAGAAATTCTATAGATTTTTTAGTTACTATTTTAAGTTTATTGGGTTGCTTCTTTATATATTCATAGATTAATTTATTTAGTAAATATTTATTTAAAATATATTAATTTAATATCAACATCCTTTAAAATATTTATTTAATATATATGTTGAAAAATAAACTAAGCAAGAACATTAAGCTTGAGAGTGGAGAAAATCTATTTTCTTTCTCCTTCATATTAACCTACTACAGTACCTGAGTGAATATGATCTTCACCAGACATACGTAACACTTTAGCTAGTACACGGAATTGTATACCATGGACCCGACAGTTAGACCTTTCCGAGGGGTCTCAGCTCATACAATCAATATATACACAAGCATGGAATACCCTAGATGCTAGACACCTCATCAAGATATTTTTCTATCCTTATCCAATCACCTAGGACAATGAGTTGTCACCCAATCATCGGTTGACATCATGCCTGACGTGGGGGGAATCTTTTCCTTGACCATGGGACATGTTGTACCTGCTCGTCCTTCTGCATGGTAGTGCACCATTGTGCATGGCCTTCATCTGAGCTGAATTATTTGCATGGACACTTCCAACACTCTCTTAATTCGATTGCTCTTCTAGTAACCACTTTCAATTTATTATTGAGGAGCAAGAAGAATTATCATGTAAGAATTATTTTTATTTTATATGAAATTGTATGAGACATGAAACTTTTGTGTTCATAAAATTTGCATCTTATTGAATTTTTTACTTTATATTTTTCAATATTTTAGTTTTTCACACAAAATTTTATAGAATCTCTTTAAATATAAGTCATTGTTAGACATTATTATCATAATATCTCACCAAATATATGTTTCAAACGTAATTGTTATTAATGTTGTCAGTCAAAAATATAATTATTTCAAAAATTATAAGTGAGACAAAAAAAAAATAAAAAAAAATTGTCTTGTGTCTTGAGATATGTGGTTTATTGAATAGAATAAAAAATTGTAACAAATTGGACTATCAAAAAGATAAATAAACAAACATTTAAAATAGAAAATTCACATTTCTCCTAGTTCAAATTAATTTTTATTTTCTTTCATGTATAATTTCTCACATGTTCTCACAATGGTATATTTATATATTAATATTGATATTTATTCTATCAATAATAAAAGTCTACAAAATTTTTAAAAAGTCTTAAGAAATCTATAGAAGTCGTAAACAATACAACATATCACTTTTGGGAATTTCTAATAAATCCTACCAAATCCAGGAAAATTGATAAAATCCTATTATTAGTAAATCTTAGAAAGTCTTTAAATTCAGCCCTAACCCTAAATAAAGATGCCAAGTAGGGTTC